CTGCTCCTGCTTGTATCGTTTTCTTGCTCTCTGAGGGTCATCTCTTTTCTGATGTCAACTCATGTGTATAATGTGTACCCAACTGTTTCTAAAACCATGATTAAAATTTTCAGTAACCATGGCACATTCCCTGAGATGTTGATTCTAGGCAAATAATTACTTGTAGAAGTCGACAAAGCTGGTCTTCACACACTGTCTTAACCATTACTGAAAAGTGCTTCGTGGGAAAGCTAAAACCACCTACTGCATAGAAATATTTCTTTCCCTTGGTAATACTGGTAGCAAAGTGGTAGCTGGGAGTGAATTTCAACAACCTAATAGTGCCAAAACATAGAATCAGCCCACCCAGACTGCCCTTATTTTAAGAACGTGCACACTTTCTGTTTCGGAAGATCAGGAAAGCTAGGGTAAATTCTAGCTTGGACACGATAAGTCACGCAGCAAAGGCACTCATAACATCACACAGCTTTTCAGGATGTTTTCTGAATAAACAGGTTTCTAGGAATGATGCGGAATTGTATCTTGCTTAGCAAACCCCTCTTTTCAAAAGGAAACAACTCAATTTAATTACCAGCATACAGACACTGAATGGCTAAGTAGGTCACTGTGTTCACAGGGCAGAAGTCAGAACTGCTTTCCAGACGACAAAAGATAGAACCCTGGGCTGTGTTTATTTCATATGCAAGACAGAGCGCTCGCATTAGAAGCTCTGCTGTTTACAGCTGGACTCTAAGGCTCTTTTGGGAAGCTCCAAGAAATCCCCCTGGGCCATTTAGACCTTCTGAACTTAAAATAACCTGCGCATATGGTAAGAGGAGCTCGACACACAGTCCTGCGACAGGCCAGCACTCCGAGTGGCTGTGAAACACTGCCCGTGTTTTAGTGGCATTCTGTACCTGCTGCATTCCAGCACTTGTATTTAGTCACGGGAACATACGTGTACCAAGATCCTGGGCCCCTGTCCTGCCCCCAAAGGAACTGTCACTTCCTGAGTAGGGGCTGTGAAATTAGGCCCCTGGCGCCATCTGAACAGACCTCCCGTCAGTGTCAGTCCGTCGGATCCTCAAACCCCCCCGAGCCACTCTCCCTTCCCTGGTGCTGGCTGCTCTCCCCCACAACTTCTGCATCACCGTCCTTCCCTCCCTCTACCCTTGTCTCTGGTCCCCAAGACTTCGCCCCCTCTCTGCACCCCCACGATGGTCCTCAAACTCTCCGGACGCCGCGGTCACGCCTGCAGAGCCTCGCTGCGGGCTCATCACCCCCGCGGACGCTCGCAAGCACCTTGCTCTCCTTCGCAGAGCGCCCCAAGGCTCCTCACGGCCACGCCAGTGTCCCCGCGACGCTCCCGCAGACGCGAGCCGCCCGCGGCCGGTCACTCCTGCAGACCCGCTCCGCAGCGCCCGCCCCTCGGGGCAGCCCGGCAGCGAGCCCACCGCCCGCCCGCCCACCGCCCGCCCCTCCGCGGACTCACGGGGCATTCGCGTGAGCACGTTGCGCGGCGCCTTCCGGCTGCGACCCGGTCCCCGCCGGGACGCCCTGGCCGTGCCGTCCTCTTCCTCCTTGACCACCATGAGGCGACGCAGGCGCTGGATGCGCTCGGGGTCCGGGGCGGGGGCGTCCGCGCGGCGGCGGCTCCGGCCCG